ACTATGTAATTCTAACGGATGAAACTTTATGCAAAAAAAAAAGAAAAGAAAAAATGTTTCCAGTTTGTCATATTTTTCTAAACACTACTTTAAATAAAAGGTTAAAAAAAACCTCTATCAACACTAGAAAGAGTATTAAAATTTAGTGGACTTGAGAAACCTATTTACCTTAAAATCTGTTTTAAGAGGAAGACTTTATAAATTTCAACTGACAATAATAGTAACTGTTCGTTCAATGAATTCTGATAGTTTTTTGCATGAAAACTATTCCCCAAAATACGATTACGATTTACAAATAAAGATAAATGAATAAATAAATTCAAATAAAAGTCAGGCAATAAATAACCAAATCTAATAAATAACACGCATCACTTTCAAAAATGTCTGAATGAGTGGATAAAAATACAAGACAGCGTAAAATATAAAGTAAAATGCAAAGAGGCTTGCGGTTCAAATAAAATAGAAATGTGCGATCGACAAATGGATTCTAAATTTAAATATCTCGGAAGAATTTTAACAAGGGACGGAAAAATGTGACACCGAAATTTAACGGTGCATTGCAATAGTGAAATATGCTATCCAAAATCTTAGCGAAATATTAAGGAACAGTAAAAATTCCACTAGAAACAAAGAAAAGAGATCTGTTATGTGATATCAGTCCTCGCATATGGTAGTGAATGCTGGATTATCTCTTCGCAGATGAAGAAGTAACTTGAAGTAACAGAAATATAGGATGCTGAGAATACCATGGATTGAATATGTTGAGTAAAATAGAAATAAAAATAACGCTCATGCTTAGAGTCAAAAGACAGTTGAAATTTCTATAAAACAAAATTAGAAAAGAGTGCCTGGAGAATTTGAGTAAGTGGATGAGACAAATATTGCTTAGAGTTACAAAGGAAGTTATTGAGAGGCATGATCAGCCTAAATAACGATCTTGTGCAAATGGTTGACAGAACAGGAACTGGAAAAGATGATGAAAAGATAAACCTTACTAAGTGCTACAAAGGCTAACAAGTTGGCAGCCATTGTCGTTCACGTCCTGAAGTCACAGAGCTTATAGAAGACAAATATTATATGTTCAATCAATTAAAATTCTTATATTAAATAACAAGGAAAAAGGGAGACTAGAAAAATAAATGTATGTAATTTTCTCTGAACATAGTTGAAAAGAGAAACAAGAGAATTTTAGACAGGGAGAGATAATATTTTCTGAATGGATTTTTCATAAAGGTTTAATTACTAAAGAAAATCTTCGAATCTTGTTTCGAATGACAGATATTTAGGATATTTATTTCCGTGAAATGACAGAAAATGTCGCTCAAGGCCGAAATGGGGTAGTAGTCAGTCTTCTGTCTTAACGTCTAAACTTAGCTAGCCACAAACGCTGACCCAATCATACTAACAAAAATCCTTGCACCAAAACAACGCATTCTTACTTACCTTTCTCACCACACCCACCATAATAGCTCCATATCCCCATGAAAATACTAATTAGTCCCCATATGTACAATTTGTGGTCTGTGGGTGGGGAGAATAACACAACAATTTAAAATTTTAAAAAATAACCACAATGAGTCTTTACAATATGAACTAATAACTATTTACAAGAAACTAAACAAAGTCATGTTAGTAAAAACAAAACCTCCCACAATCACTAAATGTGGCAGAAACATCAGGTAACTAGACGAAATTAATGCGAGACTAGAATAAATTAAAATCTTTCATTCGTCTCAAGGACTCAGTCATGCACTCATTCAGACACAACAACAGATACGAAAAATCACACACGAAACGAAAAACGCCCCGCATCCACCAGAGAACTGACGTCACTGACCAAAGACGGACATTTAGAAACAAGGTATTGTATCGTCTTATGTATATAGACGAATTAATTCGTTGATTGTCAACGTGTTTGCATGGCTGCTGTTCAAATCACAGATGCAAATTTGGTCCAACAGTAAAATCGAAGCCGTCGAAGACCTACCACGCAGAAAACTTCCTCGCGTCTCCTCTAGGTGTGCGGTTCCAGTTTTGGTATAATCAGCTACATGTGAACCCATCCACCATAGAGGAAACCGGTTGACCTCGTCTGAAAAGTATAAAAAGACGAAGACGCCGAGAAGTCGAATTATAACTTCTGTGACTAACTTTATTTGGAACGTGCCATCCATGTTGCATCCCTATATAAAAACTTAGGAAGAAACTCCTTTCTGTTTCTACATGAAATCTGTCAGAATTCTCTGATGGCGCCTTTCCCGGAAGACGTGACTGCAGCAAACTGCAAGCACTGCCTTAGAAATTTCACAGAGTTTTCAATAGTAATTCTGTTGTCAGTTATAATGACGGTATCTACCCATTTGTTCTAAACACCATTCACATCAACAACGGTCGAGGCACCATGAAGCCTGTCACTAAGTTCATCTTCTCCTATTTTTTCTAACCTTATCATCGCTTCACTGTGCTTACATTATAGTTATTTTCTAAGCGTA